TGATATCGTCGCGTCGTCGAGCTTTCGACGATTTATCGGTGGTCGCGTCTTTCGCGCGATCCAGCGAAAGTTTCCGCCGAAAAGCATTAACGTTCGCATCGATGATCGACGTATTCTACGAAAGACTCCGAACGGCGTGAATCCGAAGACGAAAGAGGAATACGCGATCGTCCGAACGAAAGCTCGTTGAACGAAGAACGTAAATAGGCGCGGGCCGTAGCGTACGTTCGCAACGCAAATAGCGATGTCGCGATCGACGATATGCAAAGCCTCTAATTATAATCGCGGGACCGGTCTTCTCTCGCTTTCGTGTCTCTTCTAGGAAAACGCGAGTGGAAAAGCGGATCGTTGCTCGCGTCGCCGCCAAAAGAAACTCGCTCGCCTCTACGAACGAACGAAATTAGATGACAAAAATATCCGCGGTTAATGCCGGCTGCGGAGGCGTGTTGCGCTCCCCGTCGCGGTTACACGCTATGTCGCACCCTCTGCGTCTTCGAACGCTCGATAATTCGATCCACGATATTCCAGGGAAACCGGCGATAAAAAAAAAACAAGCGAGAAACCTCTTTCTTTTCATTGAATTAGAGAAGCAAGGAAACGAGCACGGTACAGAAGAGCGTGCGAAGCTGAATCTTTGGAACGTCGAGGCACGACGAAGAAAAATTGCGTCATCGAAAACAGATGTCCCAGCAAAGATTCGAAAGAGCAAAAAGGGTAGAGCGAAGATGTAGCCGGTAGAGAGCCTGGCAGCGCTGGAGCGACGAACGATACACGGGACAAAGGGAATTTTTAAAAGAAGTTCTCGGCTCGCGTCACGGAGAAGGTTCGAAAAACTCGACCTAAATTCGTTCGAACGACGCGTCTTTCTTTTACGACTTCTCGACTCGTCGATCATATTAATCGTATGCGTTATATATACAACGCGTTAATTAACTCGTTAGATCGGACGACGAACGTTCGGCACAGATTACTTTCGAACGATGGAAAAGAAAAATAGCGGTAGAGAAAAACCTGTTCGAGAGTTCTCGTCTTTCGCGTACTTCTCTTCCAAAACGATTCTCTGTGTTCTCGTCTAGGTAACTTGTTTCGAATTTTTCGAAGCAACGACGCTTCGAGGGAAGAGGTCGTCGAAGGAAGAAAGAGAAACGCGAACCGTTTCCATCGAGCGAACGACGGACAATGAACGGGCTAATATACCGGAGAAGCGAGGAACCTTGTACCATATTACTCGGTGTATATCACTCCCACGCGAAAGTAGCGCGTGGTCAACCAGTAGCGTCGTTTCTTTCGACGTGAATCTTAATAGCCAGAGTGCTTCTTTAAAGGAGCAATAATAAAACAGTCGAGCGAGCATCGTTCCGACGTTTTTCTATCAACAAAAGCGAGAAGAACGCGGGAACGAGCTAAATCGCGCGAAGAAAAATAAATTTTTTCAACGCATAAATCGTTCGTTCGAGTCGTGGTACGTTACGCGTGTCGTAACTTTTCGTCTCGTAATTGTTTCGTCGAGAAACGAACCCTCTGTAAAATAAACTAGAAATAAACGCGATTTTCTCGAGACGAGAAACGATGCGCGAACAAGCGCATACGATACTAAATAGACGAGGATAACGAAATTTTACGGGGATACATACGGCTTAATAGCGGAGAAGATCGACCGTTTCGTTCGCTTACCGTTACCGTGTGTACCTCGCTCGATTTTTGCGCCGTCCTTTGCTCCTCTCGTTTCGCCTCTATCGATTCTCTATCGATTCTCTATCGATTCTCTATCGATTCTCTATCGAATCTCCTCGGATAAGAATAACGGAGAAAAACGCGTAGACCGTACGTAGTTTACCGTACGTAGACGACGAGGGAAAGCCGTTTATAGAGTTGGCATCCTTTGCACACCGCTTATCTTTATTCCAGCCGAGTATAAGCCATGCTCTGTCGGACTGAGAGGCACGTGTTTGCCTGGCCTAAAACAACATCTCCTCG